AAAGCAGGTGGCGTGAGAATAGTCACGTGATCTCGCTGACGCAACAATACCCTACTTAAATATTACTAAACCGAAAAATGGTTGAGAACTAAAAAGGCCTAAAACTGCTCAGAATAGAAAATTTTAGCGAGATAACAAAATACCCTAAAGTTGTTCAATTGTTAATTACAACTTAACTTTAATAAATTATGTAAACAACAACAAAAACAGACAATGTGAATCTATAAGTTTCAGCTCTAAAGGGATAGCAATATTGGTTAAATATTTTTATCAGTGTTTAGATGTTTAGAAGAGAATGGAGATTAGAAATCATTATAAAACCAAAAACACAAAATCGAGGAGATTTTTTTATTAATACCCGATGTTTCGGCTTCGCACTTAACCCTTTAGAAAGGAAGAAGTCGAAAAGTTGGGTCTTTAACTAAATAAAACCCTAAAATTTATAGCCGTGACATTTATATTTTTTTTTTCCATTAGAAAAACGTAATGAATTGTTCAGACTTGTTGAAATACTAATATTCGAACTAGAATAACTATCTATGAAATACATAATGTTTATCGAAGTAAAAATCACGGAACTTAATATGAAGGAAATGAAACGATAACAGCAATGTCCTTCACTAACCGCTTCAGCTTTGATCATGTTGTATGCGAACGACCAGTCACTTGCAAAACACTAGTTGCTATGGGTAAATCCGACGTTTGGTGTTAGTAAGGAACATTGAATTAATACCAGTTCTAATTGGTTTCTAACATGGGCTCATTGAAAGAAGTCTTCTTGAGAGACAAAAGCTACTAATTCATTCATAGATCTGGTAGAAGGCGAAAGTCTAGTGTCTTGACGAAAATACATATACTGTGTTTTTTATATATCGCAAATTTAATTTAGTTTCATTTTTTGGCTTGTTTAATGCTTCAAACAAATACAACACACTGATTAGTCACTTGATTAAGATTACTATTTAAAATCAGGTTGGACCATCTTCTACTGTAATGATGAACTAGATTTGATGTGGCATGAACTCCAAAAGATACCAGGAGGCTGTTCGTAAAAGCGTATTGTCTACAATTAGTTCACAAAGGTAAGCAAAAGATTAAAATGGCGAATGTGACATCAAGGTAATAAAGAAAGAAGCTTAAATGAGTTAGGTAAGGCACGGTGATTATCCTGACCAAGAAATATGACTAAAGTCGCTATCATGATATTTCAACCACATCCAGAAAAATATGAGTGTATGCATTATTATTTTGAAATATCTATTGTCTACAGGGTGAAATAGCAGCATTATGGGGTGAAAATTATAAACAACATTGTTCAGGTACACTAAGAATATTATTTGAGCTTCTAAAAAACAATAACCTTGATTAACAGTGCTCTCCCCTCCTCCATTACATCAATTTCATCAGTTGTATTGTTAGAGTAACATAAAATGGGTCAACTACGTAGTGTGGGTTTCTCAGTATTTTTACGCTATCATTAACACAGAAAAGGTTGAAATAATACTATCAGACCACATCACTAATTTTCAGGGATTTATTGCCCACGTTTTGCATCATTTAAGCTACCTTTCCTGTTTGCACTTGAAAAAAAAATCTAACTGGTCGTTTGCTGTTGTATAATAGACACAATTGTAAAATCCTGCCACTGTTGAAGGAATTCGTTATTTGGGATACAATCTGACCTATAATACACCAACTGTGTTATTCTTTAGTCAGTCACCATCCACTGGCGACTACAATTTCTCTTAATAGCAGACATATTCCTTTGTGGTTAGAACTATTTATAGACTCTAATGGCAGATTTTTTTAAATAGCCAATCAAAAAGAAAGGTGGTCTTTGATAGCGAAACTCTTTTCGCGGACACTAACCATCATGCTTCTTTGAAAGTCAAAGATATCCTTTCTCTTGTTGCATACTATTCATAATATGACTAAATCTCTGCACTTATAAACCCCAAGCAGTCACCTGATATATCATATTGTTTTAAGCTAGGTTTTTAATAATTAAATATAGATATTTTGATTGCTAGAAGTAGCTTTTTTTGTTAGCATGTTGTCTAGAAGTTTCAGGCCTCATTTGACATCAAAATTCATCAAATTGTATAAAATCCCCAGAGTGAGTGACTTAGCTAGTTCATTAGTCAGAAAGTTATTTAACAAACCAGCTAGTCATTGAGTGAAATAATTATTTCTGTCAATGAGTCAGTCAGTCGATTGTTACTTAGCGAAACTATTACTGTGTTATCAGTCGATTAAGGAGTGTGCTAGTCAGTCAGTTTGAAGTAACGTCGTCGATACGAGAGGAAATTTAACAAGTAAGTTTTATTTGTGAAGTTAGGTCTACAAGTGAACATAGCCTATATAAATTGTATTATTTTGCAGTCGAAGAAATAAATAACTAGTCACAAATACGAGGACTGAACTTTGTATTATTTTAGTGAATGATAAAAAACCTGCACAAGGATAGAAATCTTTATCGCTATGTGATCATTATATGGAAAGGGGCCGTAATGGTCAATCAGTGGGTATATACAGAAAAATAAAAAATTGTATGAACAAACGTAAAGAGTTCAAACCAAAAAAAAAAAAAATGGAGTACTAGAGATTAACACTGGAGAGGAAAAAGTAGCTGATTCTATTAATTTCTTTAAATTTTGTAATGTATCATTGGCATGCAGTTAAAAACTGTCTTTTTGTGTGTAATCATTTGTATTTACAATGGATAAAACAACCAGAGGACAGTTTTAAAGTTTTTCAAATTATAATGCCAAAATATTGTTACGTATCTGCTTGTTTTTTGTTTTTCCAGTGTAAATTATTTCCAAGGAACTTCAGTGATACAAGTCCTTTCTTAATTAAACCAGTTTATTTTTTCCTCGATACAACTTTGTAATACACAGAATTTCCAGTCAGTACGTTAAACTTAACTACTTTTATAGCACACGCTATAAATCACAGTGATTCACACACTTTACTTATGGTGTCTACTGTTCGCTTGACTCAATTATCTATATCTCCAATTCCGCTGGTTTTTCTCGCCAGGCTTATATACTAAAAACGAGGGCGTCTAGCAAACACTCGAACATTCGCGGAGTTCCTCGATAATTCGAGAAACTCCAGCGCGCATGCTCCCAGCGTCACGCAACTTCCGCTGTCGTAACAATATAAATAAATTTGCTTTTAGAATTAAAATTCGAATCAAAAATATATTTTCGGTAAATTTTAAGTAAAGTTTGGACCTTCAGTGGGATAGCGGTAAGTCTACGGAGTTATAACGCTAAAAACCGGGTTTTGATACCTATGGTGGACACATCACAGATAGCCCATTGTGTACCTTAACTACTAACAAATAAAAAAGCACAACTTGTTTCAACGCAAAATCTCATTAGGTCACCTGCTATTTCCACTACGCGTAATAGTACCCTTACGTTGCCCTTAGTAAGTCCATGGTCAGTGGTTAGGACGCTCGACTCACAATCTAAGGGTCGCGCGTTGGAATCCTTGTCCCACCAAACATGCTCGCCCTTGCAGCTGTGGGGGCATTATAATGTGGCGGTTAATCTCACTATTCGTTGGTAAAAGAGTAGCCCAAGAGTTGGCGGTGGATAGAGTTTACTAGCTTCCTTCCCACTGCTCAATTAGGGACGGCTAGCGCTGATAGCCCTCTTGTAGCTTTACGCTAAATTCAAGACCAAACGAAACCATTGTAAGTGCTTAATCTTATCGCTGAACCAATAAGGACATTAATTAAATGAAAACAAATTAAGGCATTATTTTGTTTATAAAAAAATTGACATTTTATACTGATACGTTTTAGTTTATGAATTTTAAAACACGGCCGTACAAATTCAAAATCAAACTTTACTAATTTTTAATATGTCAACAATCACTCCAGTTTGTACTACTGAGGTAAAATAAGATTATTTTACCTCCTGTTTCTGATATTCAAAGCTTATGGTCTTCTGAATACTTTATAGAGGTCACTGCATTCAGAGTTAAAAATGGCTGATCTTTTATCGACAGAAAACAGAAAAGAGCTTATGAGGAATAAAGACGAAGAAGATTTAGGAAACTTATGCAAAGAAGAAGAAACTTGTTTGATAGGAGAAAGGAATAATGATAGAAAAATACGAAAGCGGAAAAAGAAAACGTTCAGTGCAATTAAAGAACAGGTATTGTCAATATTCATAATAATGTCAAGTACAATTTACAAACAAACTTATAAGTTATATTTATAAAGTTACGTTATGGATATTGACACTTTACTGTGTATTTAGTCTTTACCATTACCAAGTTCTCTAGTCCCGGCTTTATTTTGTCTAGCAGTAGCAAATATGCTAAGAACTTAAAGAAGAAATATATTAACACGCCTTCTTACTCTGTGGATTAGTTAGCTCCCTTATTAAATTAGGTGGAATTTGATAATACCTATCACCATCCAGTTGTTCAACCACAATTTAAGTGTGAGATAAAAAAAAATTATTATACAAAGGAGAAATGAATAAATTATATATAATATGTGATGCTAATATTAATGCTATTAAAGCAAAGTGCAAAAAAAAAAAAAATGTCTAAATATACCATTAACTGAAGCAATTATTTTATGGTAAAGTTCCTTAGTATTTGTGTTACTCCTAAGTTTCTTATATAATAAAGCTGTCAAACTTTGTTCTAGAAAGTTCTCTTTTTAAAAAAACATTTTTATGTGGCGAAACAATATGACATAATTTTATGTGTAAAATATAAAATATAACTGTAATAATAATAAAAAAAAAATTCCTGTAAATTTATTAAACTTTATTCCTTTCACTTATAAGACAAGAAAAATTAGATAGAAATTGCCACAGTAGATTATCACTTATTAAACTGATATATAGCATATGAGCTTTCTTTTTTTTTGTTACCAGTAATTCAGTTTAGTATAATGGTTGGATTTATATTTGTGGTTCTTTACTTTTATATAGTTTTAATTTTAGGAAATTTTATTTTCATCACTACTAAGTCTAATGTCAACAATGTGGTTTGTAGTTAATTACATGGCTCAGTAATAATGTGATATAAAGAAATGTGACCATCAAATGCAGGTTACATTCAACAATTAAGTTTATTTTCATAGTTTGGTTAATATGTTAGGTATTCCTCATATTTCACTTGCTATCCTGTTATCCTTGACTTGTTCATTTTGTCTGATTTTATTTTATCAGCTTGAAAAGCACTTAATTGAATGGATTTGATTTAAACTTGGCATACATCAAATTATTATAATTAAAAAAAAGACATATTAATGTAGTTGTTATTAGTGTGATATGTTCTTTGGTTCAGCTGCTTTATAATGCTTGGAGATGGCTTGAATGGGTAATGAAGAAAAACTGTAATATAAGTTTAACATAACAGCAAATGTACAACGTTTCGACAAAGTTTTGTTATCAT